CATTATTAAGAACTTTCAAACAAGAGCAATCTGGGTGCAGGCTGCCCCAAACAGAGCAGTGCCAGAAATCTGAGTCAAAGGCAGGACTTGTCTAAGCTCATCTCCATTCATAATAACTCCTTGGAGGGAGGCTGGAGCCAGGTGGAGGTTGGGCTCTGCTCCCAGGTAACAAGCAACAGGACAAGAGGAAATGGTCTCAAGTTGCACAAGGAGAGGTTTAGGCTGGATATTCTTCATGGACAGGATTGTCAAGCCGTGGCAAAGACTGCACAAGGCAGTGGTGAAGTCTCTATCCCTGAAGGGATTTAAAAGCCATGTAGGTGTGGCATTTGGGACATGCTATAGATGCATATTATAATATTGGCTTTTCACAAATATTAAACTGGATTTTATATGTGTAATGTTGAAGTAACTTTGTTATAAAGATATAGTTTTTTATTTCGGTTGTTAATTAAGTTAGACATAGTAGTGAAATAGCTATGCTTGTGTTAAAATGCCTGCTTGAATGGGATAACATCCAGTGAACATAGGATGAGGACACCTGCTACAGATATGCCAACTATCAGCACTCACTGTCTGAAGACAGTGTGGACCAAGGCCCAAAACTTAAGAGGATGATAAAAATGGACCAAAATCACAACCAAGGAATATCATGCTCTAAAAAGGTGGACCCAAGGAGGGGCCATGTAAAAATATGTAAACTAGTTTGGGGAAAAGTTTATTATGCATAAGGGTCTACAAATATGCAACAGGCTGATGTAAGGGAAAAGGTATTTAAAGGGTTTCTTCAAAGATAACAGTGTGGTTTTGGCTGAGTGCCAAGATGCACCTGGCTGGAATAACCTTTGCTCTGTGGTCCTTGTCTCCTGTTGTCCTTTATTAAACTTTTTACATTTTCACAGGAGACTGAACGTGTTTTTCACAGACATGTTTAGTGGTGGTCTTGGTAGTGCTGATGGAATGGTTGGACTCAGTGATCTTAGGGGACTTTTCCAAGCTTAATTATTCTATGATTCTGTTTCAAAGCCCAGCCTAAGCAGTGATGAGCACATCTATCATGGATGTTCAGGAGTGCACCGCACACTTACAGAGGTGATGCGCAGTGCATTGATGCCCCAGAGCACTATGGTTTGGGTCCCAACTTGGGAAATACTGAGGTGCTTCCTAAATCTTTAATTGCAATCCTCACTTTTAATTGCACTGGATGTAATAGCAGGAATGATATAGTTATGGAAGACAAAGTAATGTCTCTGTAAAGACACCTCTAGTTGATATTTATTTATTCTCTTTCCAAAGGCAGCTTTTCGAGCCATCCATCCCCAGCACTGAGTGCTCCAATACCATCCATAAAATGAGTTTCCACAATTTGCCTACAGGTGAGAATAAAATTAAACCATTCCAGGCAAAGACAAGCGAAGAAAAAACACCAAACCCAAGCCCAAAATCCCCAGGGCCTAAGAATCAATAAGAGAATACAAAGCATTATAGTAGAGAAACAATTCCCACAGGGATAATCCTGCTTTTCACTGCACTCCCAGCAGCTGCAGTCGCTGATGAGTGGGAATTGCTTTTTCTCTTTGTAATTCAGCATTTGGGTGTGTGGATTTCACTGGTTTTATTTGAGTTCTGCTCCCGGTGGAAATGCTGGCAGTGCTGCAAGGCTGACAAAGACTGGAGGGCTTCAAGTGTGGATGTGATTTGGGTGCAAATGGACTTTATTGACACCGGGGAATAAAGACAAAGATGCAGAGAAGAATGGAGGGCTTGAGGGAGTGATGGAGGGACAGTGGGAGAATGGGATGGAGGGATGAAGGGATGGAGAGGAATGGAGGGATGAATGGAAAGATGGAGGTATGGAGAAATAGAGTGATGGAGGAATGAAGTGATGGAGAAGCAGAGGGAGGAATGGAGTGAGGGAGGGGTAGAGGGACTGATGGCAGGACGGAGAAACAGAAGGATGGCAGAAGGGTTGGAGGGCTGGCATGATGGATGGGGTGAAGGTGGAGGCAAAGCTAGAAAGGAAGGTGGGATTTGGGGCTGTGAATTTACCTTGGGAATCAGATTTCAGAAGAAGCTGTCAGCAGGAGGTGTGGGGGGATATTTTGATTTGGGTTTGCAACTGCAAAAGAGGCAAAAGGAAATAATAAAATAATAAAATTATATCATAATAAATAAAAAAATAAAATAATAAATGTGTGTGTGTGCACATACGTGTGCACACAGATGGGCAGCTCCCATATGTGCACACATGTGAGCAAGTATCTGTGCATGAGTGCATGCACAAGGGAGTACACACATGTTGTCTCTGTGTCTGTCTGCTCATGGGTGCATCTGTTCACATGTTCACATGCATGTCTACAGCACATGCACATTTGTGAGACTGGACGTGTATGTGCACATCTGTGTGTATGTGCATATGTGTTCATGCACGTGCACATAGGAATGTGCTTGTGCATACAAATGTGCATGTGCAGCATGGGCACATGTGAGTGGACAGACATGTCCAGCTGTGTGTGTGTTCGTATGTGTGTGCATGTTCATATTTATGTCTGTGTGCAGGTGTGTGCTTGCACATGTGAATGCAGGTGTGCATGTATGAGCACGGGGGTGCATTTTCAGTTGTTCATGTGCATGTTTGTGCATGTGTGTACAGGGCTGAGTGCAGGGAAGGGAAATGTAGGTTGGATATCAGGAAAAAGTTTTTCATGGAAGGAGTGATAAAGTACTGGAATGGCCTGCCTGGGGAGGTGGTGGAGTCACCATCCCTGGATATGGTGCTCGGTGCCGTGGCTTAGTTGAGGTGTTGGGGCATGGGTTGGACGTGATGATCCTGAAGGTCCCTTCCAACCCTGTCATTCTGTGAATTCTGTGAATTTTGTGAGTTCTGTACATGTGTACAGTTTTGAGTATACATGCACCTGAAGGTCCCTTCCAACCCTGTCATTCTGTGAATTCTGTGAATTTTGTGAGTTCTGTGTATGTGTACAGGTTTGAGTATACGTGCATGTGTTTGGATGTGCTTGCATGTGTGTACAGTCATGTGTGTGTACACACGTGTGCATATCTGTGTGTACAATTGTCAGTGTGCACTTACATGAGAACCTGCATGTGTGAATTGTGAGTTCTGTGTATGTGTACAGGTTTGAGTATACGTGCATGTGTTTGGATGTGCTTGCATGTGTGTACAGTCATGCACACGTACATACGCATGCACATCTGTGTGTACAAATGTCAGTGTGCACAGCATCTACACTTACACGAGAACCTGCATGTGTGAACGTGATTTGTGTGGTTTTGCGTGTCCATGTGTCTGCGTGCAGTTGACATGTGTGTGCATGTGCCCATGTGCCTGTGCAGGTGTGTGCACACAAGACTGTCTTGCATGTGTGTTTGCATTCCTGTGCATGAGTGCGTGCAGGTGTGAGTGACCATGCATGCACGTGCATGAACACATGGGCACCTTGCACATATGTGTGCAGGCATGTGACCAAGCATTTGTGTGTCTGCACACACGCATGTGCATTTCTTGCAGGTTTATGCTCTGGTGTGTGTCCTTGCAGATACATGGGCATGTCTCCACATGAGTGCAGCTGTGTGTGACTGTGCAGATGTGTGCACACAAACACATACATCTCTTATGTGTGGGTGCAGGTGTGTGTGTGACCACGTATGCACACACGGGCGCCTTGCACATATGTGTGGATGTGTGTGATCAATTGTGCGCGTGTGTCCACACATGCATGTATATGACTGGCCCATATTTGCACAGGTGTGTGAGGAGTGTTTGTTGGGTTTGCCTGTTTGGCATGCGTGTGTGCAGGTGCGTGATTGTGCAGGTGTGTCTGTCCAGGTGCGTATGAAGTGTGCAGGTCTGTGCATACATGGGCCACATAGGTGTGTCCCCTCATGTCTGTGCAGATGTGCAGCTGTGGAGGTCTGTGGCAGTGCAGCTGTGCACACACACACACACACGGGCTTTTAAAAATCTGTATGTGCAGGTTTCTGTGACCCTGTATGCGAGCATGTATGTGCACACACGAGTGCCTTGTACATGTGTGTGCAGGCCTGTGACCAAGCACGTGTGTGCACACATGAATGGGTGTGTTTCACATGTGTTTGCAAGTGTGTGTGGCTGTGCAGGTCTGTGCACACACACAGCCAAGTCTCACAAGTGTGTGAGCTCTGTGGCTGTGCAGGTGTGGGCACACCCACAGCCGTGCATCACACGTGTAAAAAACGCCAATCACTTGTTTTTGAAATTTTAAAATTTTAATAGTAATAAAATGGTTATAAAAATAGTAATGTAATTAGAATAATAAAATTTGAACGTTTGAGATTAGGACAATATGAGACAATAAAAACAAAGAGATATGGACGTCCGGGTACCTTTTTCAGGGCAACACAAGCCCGAAAAAGGACCCCCGTTAACAGAGGATTAACCCTTAAAAACAATCGCCTGTTGCATATTCATGCACCTCATACATGATGCATAAATTCCATTCAAACACAGGATTCTGTCTGGTCACTGTCAACTTCTTCCTCTTAATCCTCATGCCGTCTGAGCGAGGTGGGAAGAAGTTCGTTTTCTGCTGATAAGGGAGCAATAAATTCCCTTTCTCTGAAAGATTTAGGTGTCCTGTGGCTGCTATCTGGTGCGAGTCCTTTCTTAAACAAGTATCTTGCATAGCATAGTTTCTATTTTAACATTATGTTATAACCTTAGACTATATTTATTACACTACTTAAACAAATGAATACATCATAACTTTCTAGCATAATACAACATTCATTTAATACTTGCGAAAAGCCGATCATAAAATACACATTTTCCACAACACGCGTGTGCAATGAATGCATGGATGTGCGGGCGTGGGCACGCCCATAGCCGTGCATCACACGCGTGTGTAGGTGCAGGTGTGTCCGTGTCTTTCCCGTGTCGGTGCCGTGCCCGTGTGCGTGCAAGCCCCGCCCGGCTCCCGCCCCGGTGCGGGCGGAGCGCGGCGCTGGGGCGGGGAGCGGAGCGGGGCTCGGAGCGCGGAGCGGTCGCTCCCGGCGCGGGGCCGCCATGGCGTGGCCCTGCATCACCCGCGCCTGCTGCATCGCCCGCTTCTGGAACCAGCTGGACAAGGCGGACATCGCCGTGCCGCTGGTTTTCACCAAGTACTCGGAGGCCACCGAGCATCCTGCCGCCCCCGCGGCCCCGCCGCGCCCCGCGGCCCCCATCGAGACCCAGCCCGGCGGCGAGGCGGCCGCGGGGGCCGGCGGAGCTGAGCCGGCTCCCGGCCCCGCCCGGCCCGGCCCGGCCCCGCACGCCTCTCCCCCGGCCGACTCGGTCATGCGGCACGACTACAAGCCTTGGAAGGTGCAGCGGCCGGAGCCGAGCTGCAAGCCCAAGAGCGAGTACCAGCCCTCGGACACTCCCTTCGAGAAGGAGACGCAGTACCAGAAGGATTTCCGTGCCTGGCCTATCCCCAAGCGGGGCGACCATCCCTGGATCCCCAAACCGGGACCTTCCCCCGTCCTGGCCCTGGACCGCGCTGCCCCGGAGAAACCGGCTCAGGAGAAGCGGCGGAAGGTGCACCTCCCTCCCGAGAAGAAGGAGGAACACGCCGAGGTGGAGGATGAGCATCCCAAAGCAGTGCGGCCCGGGGATGGCAGAGAGAAGGGTCGGAAGAAGGCGGAGGAGGCGGGCGGGCAGCCGGCGGAGCCGAGCAGAGGCCGGGCTGCTGCCGATGCTGTCAACAGGCAGATCAAAGAGGAGGTGGCGGCGGGGGTCAGCTCGTCCTACAGGTGAGGAGACACATCCCCGGCCCCCAAATTCATCCATCTAGATCCCCAACCTGCCGGCCCCTCGTCAGCTCTTACCCAGTCCCCCTGTGCGCTTCCCTGGAGGAGCATCCCACCCTGGGAGTGAGGCTGTGGTGAAACATTCCAGGGGGTCTTGCCGATTTCCTGCCCGGGGGGTGTCCTTAAATTCCCCACCTCTCTGGGAATCGATGATGGGGGCAGTAGGTATTGTGCAGGTAGTGAATACATGGACACTTTTTGTTGGCGCTTTGCCGGGTTTGGCAGCAGTGTCTTTTGTTCCCTCCCCTCCAGTGCATTCCAAAATTCAAAGACACCCACCACCTTGGATTTCCATAGGGGCGATGTTTGGGGTCACCTCTGTGGAATGTGCAAGTCACCTCTGGTCCTTCCCAAGCACGTCCCTGGCTGTCAGGCTGCAGCCAACCCAAAGGACCGGCAACCCGACCGTATCATCGGGGAGGGGGCCAGGCACGAATGGGATGCCCCAGGCGCAGGAGAGTCCCAGGAAGCATCTTAGGCTGGCCCACGCTCAAGACAAAGCATCCCGGGGATGCGCCAGGATGAGGGACACGCATCCTAGGCCGCTTGGGTGGGGCAGCCTTCAGATGCTGCCATGTTTTAATGCAGCGCAGCAGGGGATGACACATCCTTCTGTCCCCCCCCAGCCAAGTAGAAACGGATGCCCTTAATTCACTTCAGCAGTAGACCTTGTTTGGGATTCGGAGTGTGAAGCTCCTTGCAGTGAGCTGCTGTTGTTGTTTCTCTCCGCCTCAGGGCGTTCGGTGTGTTGGGAATGCAAAAACAAGTGATGGGGTGGCTGCCCTGCATGTACGTGTGCAAGGAGGGTTTGCTGCAGTTGTGTTTTCCAGCACTTTCTTTGGCAGAGCCCACCACTGCCGAGACCTGAGTGGAAGTGGCATAGAGCAAAGCTGTGGTGACAAGAAGTGTCACTGCAGCCGTTTTGCTTTTCTCAATAGCTGTGTGAATGCTGAGCTGTTTATGCCTCTGAATGATTTATTTTCCTTCTTGGGGAGATTAGAGGTGACACCTGGCCATCAAGCAGGTAATGCATTCATGCAGATTTAGGATGAAGCTGGGACTTGACTCCTCTGTCCCACTGAGCAAAGCTGACAATCATCTGCTTTCCCCCCTCCCTGAGTGGGAAACAGTTCAAGCAGTGAGATCTTGATTTTTGCTGTCATTTGGCATCAGTTCTTAACTCTCCCTGGGTAATGCTGGAGGCTCAGGTGCATCCAGGTGTGACGTGGTGCTTGGCTGAGACACAAGAAAGTGGCCAGGGATTTTGGGGGGCTCTGTTTTACAGGGTTGGAGAGTGTTGGGAAAGGAGTCTCGGGGAGTGACACAGCCCTTACATCTGCTGTGAACTGAGACTCGGCTTTTTGTCTGCTCACCTTGGTAGCAGGGCTAAAGCAGAAAGCTCTCCTGGAACTGGAGGGCCGATGTGCTGCATCTCTTTCACTGCTACAAAGGATAATTGGACTTCTTTGCATATTTAAATGCAAATTGCTCGCTTTCCTATCCCTCCAGTCTGCTCCAGCAAATTCCTAAGGCACTGGGCTAGGATTCCTCCCCAAGGAAAGGGGTTGGATCAACAGGGATGTTAAAGCTAAGAAGAACTAGAAGGATTCAGCTTTCTTTGTGTTGCTTGTCGGCTTTCACAGTGCTTAGGGCTTCTCTTTCCACTTGGGAAAGTGTCCTCCCACTTCCATGTTTTTCTTCCTTGCTGCATATTGCAGAAGTGTTTGCTCTGACGCTCAGCCATAGAAGCGCCTCTTCATTAATGCATAAGTGATGTTTTGGCTAATTGTTCTCATTGCCTGTTCAAATTAGGCATCTTCTAAATGTTGTTTATTGTTTGGATTCTTACAAAAAACCAAATTCTCCAAATCCTAATTACTGCCAAGAACCTGGCTGCTGGCATGCTGGGTGGATATTGTACATCTCCAAGGATGGAGACTCACAGCCGATTGGGGCAGCCTTACAGCCCACCCAGCAGCCAAAAACTGCCTCCTAATGGCCTCTTGCTAGAGAGGAGCAAGGATGGCTCACACGGGGCTTTTGTTCCATGTGCATGGATGAAAGCTCCCCATCAGCAGAGAGTGGTGGGGGGCAGATTTCCTTACAGTCCTCTGTCACTGCTGCAAATCAGTGTTTCCAAGGCTGGCAAACAATTCCTTGGTGAAACCAAAGAGCAGCCCAGCAGTAGTTTTTAAGCTCACTCTGTCCCACTGGGAATTATTTCCATGTGAGGAATACCTGAGAGCATGGGATGGAGTCAGCGACCAGCCCAAGGTCACGGGGGAAGTCCATGCTAAAGGGAAGAATTCTCTTTTTTTAACCTCTGTGTACCTAGAATATCACAGAGACCGTGTGCCTGTGACCTCCCCCCAGGTCACACAGAGGTACAGAGCAGAGGTGGTGCCTGCTGGTGATGTCCATGGAAGATGGAGGTTCCTCCCAGCCAGAGGGATGAGGGATTTGTTTGTGTTAGCATTTGAGCAAGAAGCCTTCAGTGAAGCCAGAGTGGCAGGACTGTGGATGTCTGCCAGAGACTTCCTGTGCCCAGGGATCCTACAGAATAAATAGAATTTATTTCCAGTATTTCTAGTATTTGTTTATCTTATTCATAGTATTTACATTATTTATATTTTTATATTTATATATTTATTAACTCTAACTTGTTAACTATTCAGTTATATATGGGATTTTTTAATGTACTTATTCCCACTGCTCTCACTGGGTGTGCAATGGTTCCAGCACTGCGGGGCTTCTTGCCTCAGTTTCCCTCCCCAGCACATGAGCTGCCCAAGTTTATGGGTAACCAAGGCAGGTTACATCTCCTTCACCCTACCCCCCTTCTCTTTGGTCCTGCTTCTCAGGGTGGCCTGTGGACCCTGAGGGACCAAGGACCTGGAAATCCTTCAGTCAGGTCAGTGACAAGCCCCATGGAAAGCCACTGGTGGTGGGTGAAGCTGTTTCTTGTTCAGTTCTGTGAGGGCTTTATTTGTGTGGGTGAGGGGATTTCTCCTCCTGAACTTCTGGGTGGGATGGACAGAGCATTTCTCCCTGGTGCACCAAAGGATGGAGCGGGCTGGACTTGACTGGGGGCTTGGGATCAGAGAGAACAAGCAACAAAATATGCTCACAGTGTCATTTGCACAGTGAAACAATCAAAAGCACATTTGGCAAAAATAAAAGAAGGAATGAATGAATGCTTTCCATTTTTATCTGGAAATTATGGGAAAATAACAGAATTAGGTGTTTCTTGGGTGTTTTTTGCCCCCTTCTTTGTCTTGCATTCTGCTTCTTTTGTTAGCTTTATTCCCTAAAAAAAAAAAGATACAAAACTGAAAGGAACCATTTACCTTTGTAAGGTATCAAAATGAGTAAGGTATCAAAATGAGTATGAAGAGAATTAATTTCTCCCTGAGAAGGAATATTGTGAAACCAGATTTAATTGTTTTTACCAAACCAATTATTTTTTCCCTCCCACCAACTTCCTTTCCTAGCAGAGGAAACAAGACAATAAAGGCTTCAATGGAAAATTTTGGACTGCCTCTAGTACTAATGAATCGCCTGTTGCTAATGTTCTGTCATTCATCTCAAACCCTGGAGGTACCAAGGATGTGGAGCAAATGAGAATTTGTAGTAGCTATAGAGATGAATGAGTCAGCACTGGAGACTTGCTGCCTGGTTTTCAGAGATACAGCAGAGATAATTTAGGGAGGGATGTCCACACAGGAAGGCTGGACCAAGATACAAAAGGGCAGGAAAGTCATACTCCTCCTTGTTCTGAAGACAGGCTGGGAGAGCTGGGGGTGTTCAGGCTGGACAGGAGAAGGTTTTGGGGAGACCTCAGAGCTCCTGGCAGTGCCTAAAGGGGCTTCAAGAGCCAGAGAGGGGCTTTGAGCGAGGGCCTGGAGGGGCAGAACAAGGGGGAATGGCATCCCACTGTCAGATGGCAGGGTTAGAAGGGATATCAGGGAGAAATTCTTGGCTGTGAGCATGCTGTGGCCCTGGCACAGGTTGCCCAGAGAAGCTGTGGTTGCCTCATCCCTGGAAGGGTCCAAGGCCAGGTTGGATGGGGCTTGGAGCAGCCTGGTCTGCTGGAAGGTGTCTGTGCCTGTGGAAGGGGAATGGAACAAGATAAGCTTTAAGGTCTCTTCCAACCCAAGCCATTCTGGCCATTCTATGTTTCTGTGATTTTATCTAACCTGTTCTTGAAAATCTTCAGTGGAGGGCATCTCCTATCTTGGTGAAAATGCTAATAACACTACTTATGCTGTAAGATGGGAAATTTTCCATTGCCTTCTGAAATTTCTGATCAGATCCATAGCTGTGTCTGTACTAGTAAATTAAAGAGTCCCAGGACATGTTCCTGGGTGTGGAAACATCATGTACACTCCCTAGCCCACTTCTCACGCTGAGTTTGGTAGCACACACTCCCAAGCCAAGAACTTATCCCTACAATCAGTTTGGATGCAACCACCTTGGTTTTAGAGGTTAAAGAGGTTTAACAGCATGAGTGAGGGCTATCCCAGACTCCACTGCCGGAGAACATTCCCGGGCAGATACCATTCTCCAAATCCTTGTTTTTTCAGCTATGAGAGTGTTTATTAAAGTAACCGTGTAGGCAGATGGATCCAGTTTTCTTAGGTGGAAGGGAAGGGGCACAATCTTTTCTTCCATCCAGAAAAGGCTGTTCAGAGAGGTGTTTGGCAGCTCTGGCAAGGCTGAGCTCTGTCTCAGGGGTCACTTGATACATACCTTTAGTAGCAGGAGGAGACACAATGTCTGCTGAAACCACAGGGACCGGTTGTATGAGTAACTAATGACTAATGGCCCTAGTGTTTATTAAGACACAGAGCATGGAGATGGATGATACAGGCTTTGTTGGTCCTGCATGGCCTGGTCTTTGGTAGTGCAGGGTGGCCACAGAGCTGGCTTCTGTGAGAAGCTGC